TCGAATTGCCGAATCCACGGATGTGAAAGTACTTCTCCAGCTGTGTAACGTTTTTCCACATTGATACACATCATTCCAGATACTAGTTCTTTTGCTTCTGAAAAAAAAAAGAATTATTGAATAACAACAACAAAAAATTGTAATATCTCCTGCATAACGAAGGCGGTCGCCAGATAGTTTGAAAGTATGCAAGGCAAGCTGCAAAGCGTGCTCAGCGGTCATCCGCGCGCGCCCCGTGGTTGACAATTGCCCTCACCCGCGAGCGCGTCAGCCTTGCATGCTTCAAACTATTTGGCGACCGCCTTTGTCTTGAAGCAGATATTACAATCTAAATGGGGAAAACTCACTTTCAGAGACTTCTCTCCACTCAGGCATACCAAAATACAATCTGCCCTGGGTAATCAATCGGAACAAACGGTCACGCTCGCTTGCTCGAAATGGAGCGAATCCAACAAGCATTACATGAAGCAGCACACCCAACGACCAAATGTCTACGGGTAGCCCATAGCCTAGATTAAAATAAATTCATTTTAAGGATAATAGAATTTCCTCTGTTTGAATAAAAAACTCTTGATTGTGTGGAGGTTGAATCTTTGCCAAGTTTAGACTGTTGAACGCTGAAGGTGGATTTGAAATCAGCTCATCAAGACGTATCTAATGATATGCGATTCAATCCAATCGTCACCTCTAGTTGGGGTCGTTCCCTTGTCAGGGTAATTTCTCCACACAATTCTTTAACACTTTTCACATCACTCTAATCTACATTAAAAATCCAACAAATTAGTTACTGAACTTCTCAAATTCCTTCTCCTCACCAATTCCAAAAATTCTGAATGGCAGCGACAAACCTGCTCCAAGCGCACGCTGGTGCCCGCCGCACACCTCATGCCGCCAATTCAGGGGATACAAACATCACTAGCTTTTTTTCGCTCATTTAATGTTGTTTTTGTGCTCATTTCCAATTTTCTTTTTTCATGTTTATTTATTCATGCGCGTGTCATGTGGGGTGTCGTAAGTTGGATGGGAAGCGAAGATTTCATTTTTAAAAGCTTGCCAGTCACCTCGCGATCCTACTCTAAGATCAAAAATGTGTATCGCGTCTGTTCAAGCAAAAAAATTGCCTTTTCGGAAAGGAGTGGAGATAAAGAAAAATTTCCTAAACCTGTAGTTTTTATGAAATTTTTGTGAGGGAGAATAAAAACGGCATCTCATTTGCCACTTACTGCAAATCTTCTTGGAGAAATAAAAAAAAAGAAGTTACCCGTCTCGCGAATGACTTCCGGTGCACAATAGCTCGGTGTACCGCATACCCTGTACAAAGGTCCAAGAACCGTACATGCTAGTCCAAAATCACACAATTGGACCTAAAGCGTTGTTGTTTTCAATTTGGTTTCAAATTTCCTGATGCCATGTAAATATAATTACTGACCTGTTTCTTACTGTACAGTAGCAAATTCTCAGCTTTTATATCTCTGTGGACGATTTTTCGATTGTGCAAGTAAGCAAGTGCAGAGGCTGTCTGTAACAGAATTTTTAGAGTGGATGAAAAATTCCAAGAAAATTGACGGCTTTCAAGAAATTTGGAAAAATTCATACATTTCTGGAATACTTTCACTTCTCTCAGAGTATGTGTATGGGTCATTGACGGCTCAGCAACAAAAAAATTTTTGTAATAAAAGTGGCATTAGCTATGCTTTCCGGAAAATTGAAGATCTTTTCCCAAATTTTTGTACAAAAAAAAA